GAGCACAGGCTCCGGACGCGCAGGCTCAGCGGCCATGGCTCACGGGCCCAGCCGCTCCGTGGCATGTGGGATCTTCCCAGACCGGGGCATGAACCCGTGTCCCTTGCATCGGCAGGTGGACTCGCAACCACTGCGCCACCAGGGAAGCCCCCAAACTACAATCTTGAGGCCAGAACTCAAGACCTATCATCAGGTTCTAATTTACTGCCCTACTAGTAATTTACACTCCATTAGCGCAGCACACTGCAGAGTGCTGTGCCAATAAAACAGTATGATGAGTTGAATCCAGAGGGACATTATAGCAACATGGTTAAGTGCATGGGCTCTGGAGTCAGGCTCCCTGAGTTTGAGCAAGACCTAGAACTTACTGAGTGACCCTATATAAGTGAACATCTTCATTTTTGATAGAGTAAGAGTACCTACCCCCAGGATTGTTATGAGGATTAACAAATGACAATTTATGTAAGGGCTTTATAATAATAAAAGAAATGTAAGCCAATACTATCATAGCCAACTTTTCTAAAGATGGTAACACCCCTACATTAAGATAGTCAGAATGTCCCAAGAATGAACAAACAGAACAAACATCCATTCATTCTTTTTATGGACACTGACTAGGCAACTACTGTATGCCAGACAATATGCTAGGCCTAGAATAAACAGTGGCCAATGAAATGGATACATGTCCTATATTCATAGCAAATACAAAAGAGTAACACATAAATAACCTTATAAGAAAACTCAGAATTTATTTACTTATGCCTGTACTTATTTCATTTTAACAATATGGAAAGGTAATTTATACTACCTTCTTTCTTGTCACTCTGGCTAATTTCAGCATGAGGAAACACTTTTTGCAAGACTGCTAGGATGTTGTTGAAGCTTCTTTCCAGCAGTGGTCTTATGATGGGGGATAGTGCATGTCCCGAAGACATGACAGCACGCTGGGAAGCAGGCACAATATTCTGCATTGCGTGGTAAAAATCTTGGGCGTTGAGCACTATTGAGGAAACATCTAGCTGCAGTTTATGACTGCTAGCATAGATCTGGGGGTAACGCCTTCGCAGGGCAATCAGGGCAGCTTCAGTGCACAGGGCCTTGATATCAGCTCCGCAATAGCCTAATGCACAAAAGGAAAAGGATAACAAAGGTAAGTCCATTTTTCCAAGTATCAACTCTATTGTGCAAATATGCACATCTTTATCTAAAATAAAATACTAAATCAATCGTGCAATTTCACTAGCAAAATGAAAAATGACCATTTAAAGTCACCTAATAAAACTGTTTACTCATTAAGACTAAAAACGTTTTGAATATTTTAATTAACAAACACATGAACTAATGGTATTAAAAGAAAACAAGTCATATATTTTGTGCCAAAACCACTGATTATAACGTACATCTTTCTTCAGGAAAGGTTTCAAAGAAATAGTTTTATATCAATATTTCCAATTATTAGTTTAGTCCTCATGACATTACAGTTTTCTATAAATTTTTCTAATATTACTAATTTCCAAACACATATAATGGAGGAGTACAAAGTAGTATACATAAGCGGAAACTTCAAAATCAGAGCTATTCTACTACTAACTCTGAGTGCAACCCACAAGCAGGTTAATATCTTATTACCCCCAAAACTATACTTTAAAGTTATGATCATCTCTGATAGTTCCAAAGGTATTACAGGGAATGAGAATCCATTAAATTTCTACATTATCTTCCTTTTTATATATGTATTTAGTTTAAAATGATTGATAATCTAGTTCAAAGGGCTACAAAGATATGAGGTATCATCCATTACCCATATTTAACTGATCGTGTAGTTAAACAACAGATCAAGCCACCAGTGCTCTGAAATCATTTCATTCATTTGAGCGACAAATACATAGAAAAACATATGAACTCTTAGGTCTTTACCACAAATGGGAAGAAAACCTCAAACTAGTCACGGTGTTTTTTTATATCGACAATTAAACCTGCATTTGGCCACCTTTATCAGTTATGCCAGCAGCATAGTCCCTAAGCTCTTCAAAGAACATTAGTCCCTAAGCTCTTCAAAGAGTGGTATTAGGTTTATTTATCTTTTTATATCTCACAATGACCTTGTAGAACACTTAAATACTGAAATTAAAATGGTGATTAGATAGGAAAACTACAAGCAGAGAAGAAATAGTACCAGACTAACTGGCAGAAAAAGAACATTAAGGAACAAAACCATATAAATCAAACTGACTCACACATCTATAATAAATTCTATCCCTATATCCCTCAGTAGGGCAAATGATCACGTTAAACAAGTCCTACACATAACAGAAAACTCCTCACCCTGCTCTCCTTTCTCCACAGCACTTACAACCTTATCATTTACCTATTATGTTTACTGTCTGCCTTCCCCAACTAGAATGTGACCTCTGTAAGAATAGGGGTATTTGTTTGTTTTGTTCGCTAAATGTATCTCAACTACCAAGAACGATGCCTGGCCTGGCATTCAGTAGATATCCAAAAAATATTTCTTGAGTGAAAGAATGAATGAAAAGAGAAAAGAGTAACTCCAAGGTTATAGTCTGGAAACGTAAAACTATTAGGTTACCATGTATTACAAAAAAGAGGGGGATGAATCATATCTATTAGGCTTTTCTCTTTCTAAGAAATCTGAATTCTTTTACTATTAAACCAACTTACTCACTGTAACTAAAAATTTCAATGAAAATTATGAAGTACTATATTCATAAACATTTATTCAGAGGTAGGGGAAAACTTAATATGACCTATGAGAATTTAATTCAGAAAGCTGTAAGCAGATTAAGCATTAACACTGCCCCGTGACAGCAATCAATCTCCCAAATAATTCTTCAGAATAACCAAGTTTACCATGTCTCTCATTTTATTTTCTAGTTCTCAATGAATGAACCTGACAAAACGTATCTTTTCCCGTTCCATACATATCTGTTACATTAGTTCAACAAAATAACTGTAGAACACCAGCTCAATTATAAACAGTTAACTAAATAATCCATTTCAGAGGAAGTAAAGAATAAACTACTGTCTTCAAAAATATATAAACCACATTTCTTTTTCTTCTTTAAAAGTATATATACTTAGTGAACATACTATATGACCCTATTTTTAAGTGCAAAAACCTAATTAAAAAAGAGAAAATGTTCAAAAACAATGCAGAACAGAAAAAAGCCACTAAAAGGTATTTTATGTAGTAAATGTTGCCCGTAACATTTATGTTTGACATAATAATATAAATAGCAATGTATTGTTCATTTTTTCTTAATTTATTAAAGATAATTTTAAAGCTTATCAACAATAATAGATTCCACCTAAAGAAGTAAATTTTCTTCACTGAGTTAAACAGATGTTTTGTATATTGACACATTTTATTAACAATATCAAAAAATCACATTTGTTAATATCATCACCAATCTCATCGCTAAAATCTTTTAAGTGCTGGCAAGCTGTCAGCTCACAATGACAAATATAAGTCATAAAATGCCCTTTGAGAACTGCTGTGTAGCTTATAATCCCTTTTTTGTTTTTAAAAAAATCCTAATTTTTGCTTGAAAGTTTGAATTTCATCATTAGTTATAAACTAATCTTTGAAAAAAATAACGAAGTAAATTTTCTCATGGATTATCATAACCAACAGACTATAAATGATAGGATGTATCTTCTTTACATTTGTTTGTGAATGAGAATTACTAGTTTATATCTGTGGTTGTCAACCTTGACTAGTCATCTGAATAAACAATGAAAATGAGCCAAAAATAGATTCCCAACAAACTTAGTGAATGAGAATCACTAAGTGGTGGTTTAATATCATAAATGTGTATTTTGAGAAAACTTTACAAGTGATACTGATATACAAAAAAATTGAGAACTACTGAATTAATAATACACTTTCCTTACTAGACTCTAAAACAGAATTAAAGGTACATCATAACCATGGCTAAATAGGCTATATTAAGGGTGACCACATGTCCTGGTTTAGGCCATTTGCCTTGTCATAATTAACAGTGTATTTTTTCACTCTCAAAGGGGTCCTGGTTTAGAAAAATAGACGATATGACTATTCTAGAAATACTGAAATACAGCCTTTTGAGAGTTAAAAGCTGATGTTAAATATCAATATCCCTTCCATAGGGATTCCATAACTTAATACTAGTTCCACCATTACAACTCTAACAGTCTGATGAACACACATAGCTATAGATACCGAAGAAAAAGCATTCCTGAATACTGCTATTAAGATGGAAATTTGTCTGAAAGAACGAAAATACAAGCTATTCAAAGAGGTTATAAACTAGAGAAAGGTAATAAAATTTTATGAAGTTACTTTTTAAGTAAAATACCAAACAATGAAGGTCCACAAGCTAAGATGCCACATTGACAGATACCCTTTCATTGTTTTGGCCCTCTTAGTGAAAATGAATAGAGAAGTATGATTAGATTAAAGTTCTTCATTAACCTTAAGCTCCTACTATTTGTGCACATGTTCTGGATACCAAATTATTTGAAGACTACTAAAAATCACACCTATTATGCATGCAAACCTCCAAGTACTTGGGAATTCATTTCAAGGTAAAAGTTACCAAATCCATAACCTCTAACAAGAGGTCAACTATCTTTGCAGTCGTTCATTAAGACTGCATACTCTTTTGTTAGGCATAAATTTCATTCAACTGAACCCATACATGTTAAAACATCTTTGGGATACGTAAGTGCTAAGCTCATAATGAATTAAAAATTTATTGCTATTCCGTTCCTGTTTGAAGTCCTGTATTTTCTTTTTTCTTTTTTTTTTTTTAAGTGAACTGGTTTCTTAAATGAAATAAGTGTCATAATCAAAATCAGAAGTCAGTTAATTATAATGGATTTTTATGTCACTCTCCAGGAAGAAAATAGAGTATATATAAGCAGATTCTAAACCAGCAACGCCACCCCCAAAAAAGACAGTTTTTCAGTCCTACAAAAAAGTATGTCTTAAAATTTTTTTAACTTAAGAAACTGACTAAAAGCTAAAATAAATAACTTGGTAAAATGAGAAGGAGTGGCCTTTCGAAATGAAAAAGGAAACTGAGAGTCTAATATTTAAGATGAAGAATTAGAGTATATAATATTTCAGATGGTACATAGGGTAAAAAAGTAATTTCAAAATTACTCTTAGGGAATTTCCAAAATTATTTGAAGACTTCTGCTTATTTCAGTTAAGGATCATTCTGTGACAAATTCACAGATGAATCTACAAATATTTCCCATTCTGATCTATACTCTAACACAATAATATCATAAAAGTAACAGGAAATAAAAGGGGTCAAATTTCAAAAAGGGCAAAGACTGGATTTTGTACCAAATACCACCCTCTCCCATAAAGCAGCACAAGGCTTTGCAAAGGTCAAGCCAAATTTACATGAAATGGGTTTGGCGCATGCTCTCTTATACCAGGCAAAGCTTAAACTGGAGTAGTGCTGGAGAGATTTACGTTTTCTCCTCACCAGAAGATGTCGAGGTCTTTGTGGTTCAAAAGCTGAGGTATGCTGCTTCGGAGATGGAGGTCCCTGTGGATGAAGAGGATAATTCGGATGTAGCTAACTGAATGGACTAATGTTCTATTTAAGTTTTAATTATTTGATGGTGGACCACAATGATTTTTTAACTAAGTTGTTCTTTTTGGTTTTGGTAACTTTAAAATTTTCCCAAGTAGACTGCTGACTGTTAGTGGACTTATTAGGGGGACTTCTTCATAATGCTTTAAAAAAGTTCATGGAGAGATTTTTTAATTTATATTTTTGAGAGAATGAGAGGAAAACAGACAAAAGACAGAAAAAGAATGAAGGAAAAATACCTGTGTGTATATTCAGTTGCTTAATACCACATTCATTTCAGATCTAATTAGAGCCAAAATCCTGAATTCTAAAACCTCTGAATTCCGTCTCTTATGTAGGATCGTGTACGTACATAAAACACTCTCACTATATCCTTTTAGGACAGTAGTGTTCGTTCACTCTGTAGGAGATCTTCTACTTTGTGAATAACTTATTAACTTGGAGAGTTTTACATTTGGGGAAATACTAGCAGATGTCATTAAGTATTTTCTTTGAAGACTCCTCTCACTCAACTTCTTTCTAAACCACCAGCATGAGGATGAGTCCATCATGTAATCTGTGAAGTAAAAGACTACAGTCCTGCCCTATCCCTGGACCTTCACCTCTCGTTTAAGCTTATTTTTCTTAGTAAAACTTCTGAAAGGGAACAATTCCTAAAAGGAAACACTGTAGTAATACTGGAAATCCAGCACTCAATGAAAGGCATATGACCACTGAGCTTTGATAATCAAAACACCTAATGGCAACTAAAATTCTAATTTAGAAGTGTTCAAACTTCAAGTGAAATGTTTACATTTAAAGGCAAAGCCATCTATTGCACAAAAACACAACTATACTCATTCACATTCCAAACATAAGGGGAAAGGGAGGCTGATCAGAACAAACAATGACAATCAAAAAATTCAAACAGTAGCACTCACCAACACATTTTTCAGCCAATTCACCTAAAAAAGCATCTGACAATTTTGGATTCCAGTCCCTGGTATGGATCTGTAAAATGTGTTTTCTTGCCTAAGAAGAAAAGCACAGATAAATAAAATCTTGCCTAAGGAAAAAAGTACAAATAAATAAAATATCCTCAACCCCAAAATGTGTTCGATGGAACAAATTTATCAACTAACCACATCCCAGAAAAGCAACTGTTTATTTTTAAAGAAACATAAACAGCTTGGCATCCGCATCAACCCTGATTCCCATAATAACCCTGTGAGCTATGTAGCAGAGATCTTTGTTTCACAAACTAAGATAATTAACATCCTGAGAGGTAAAGGAACTTGACTAGCGGCACATACGACTACGTGACTGATATAGGACTAGAACTCAAAACTAAATTTCACTTTCCTCCAAGTCAGTAAACAAAAAAACTTTAATGTGTTATAATAATCATTTTTTAAACAAACCTTATATTTAGATTTCACAGGCCTTTTGGTTCTAATATGCATAAAGTATCATTAAAGTTTTAAGTTGAAGAAGTTTTCAATTAAATAAATATAATAAACATTATCATCTTGTAGGTTAGTTAATGCTTTCACATTTAATATATAACAAGGTAATCTCCATAAATATTAATTGAATTCACTGTAAAACAAAGGTTTAAACAATTTTACCTTGATTTTTTTCTTTCAAAAGAGCATTCTTTACCTTAAATCTAACTGTATAGCACAATCAAAATTTTAACATCTTGGTTCCAAATTAAATGAAATTTCTTTTTCTCCCACAGTAAAAATTAAACACTGAAGTATGAGTCCATAATCACCTGAAAAGTCACATCAGAATTCTTTTTTCACATTTGCCTTCTTTCAGGGGAAAGACAATGCTTTCTAAAATTGAGCTTGGGCTTCCCTGGTGGCGCAGTGGTTGAGAGTCCGCCTGCCAATACAGGGGACACGGGTTCATGCCCCGGTCCGGGAGAATCCCACATGCTGCGGAGCAGCTGGGCCCGTGAGCCATGGCCGCTGAGCCTGCGTGTCTGGAGCCTGTGCTCCGCAACAGGAGAGGCCACAGCAGTGAGAGGCCCGCGTACCACACACACAAAAAAAAACCTGAGTATACTTGTTTCCTCAACACTGCTACTTGAGTTTCTTGAGACTATGAAAAAGCAAATTATAACCAAGATGATATTATTGCCTTGGTGAGGAATCTGGGGTCTAGCACAAAAACAGAAAGAACTTGAAAGTTTTCAAGATAAACCTTGCTCAAAAAGTTGACAAAATCTGGAATCAATAGCTGTTGCTTCAATTCCAAGTTCTAAGTTAGGTGTTCAGCTACCAAAAATAAATCAATGATGTAAGAAATATTTTCTTTCGACTTGAAATATCTGCCTGAACAGATACTAAAAGAATATAAAATCAAGGCCCCCCAAAAATATAATTCTGAGAGCTTACATAGTCTAGAAGATGACATTAAGAATCTATATAGACTTCATTAGCAGAAGGGGCGCCACTCATTCAAGACCCTTAGAGAATCAGAAACACAGCAAAAAAAAAAAAAAATCTAAGCTGGAAGGTATCTCAAAAAAGATCTATCGGGGCTTCCCTGGTGGCGCAGTGGTTGGGAGTCCACCTGATTTAGAGGAAATGAAATTAATTACCTAAAGTCAAAAGTTATTGTCAGGTCTCTGAGACATTTAAGTGCCTTTCTCTTTTTCTATATAAAGAGTCTCCTTTCTTTATCATAAAAACAAGAACTAGAAGAAATTATTTAAATCAAGAAATGTTTCATTACAATTTACTCTATATGGCATACAGAATAGTAAATCATATGGTTTCTCCTAATAGAAAGTAGCTTCCTCTATTATTAAGAGTCAAAGGCAAACTCAGGTCACTCATTCTTTAGGATTCATGAATATACACATAACATTTATAACAATAATCATACTGCTGATGATGATAAACAAAAGAAATTAAGCATTATTGCATAAAGAAGGTACGTGCTATTTTATGGTAATAAAGAGTTAACAAAATTATTAAAATTTGGCACCAAGACTTACTTTTTTTGTTGTTTGTTTTTTACTTTCACTTGCTCAAATAGTAAGAGTCATGATATTCCACTTCCCAAACTGCATGCTAATATTAGACACTGACTGGTATCAATTTAAATTAACGACCAAATGGAGCCTTATGACTGCCCTTAACCCTTCTCTATTCTATTCATGAGGCTATCTTCCAGCAGACTATTTCATAGCTTCTCTGTCTTCATGCTCAGCCTCTCGTTCAGAACTTGCTTCCTAATCCACTGAGAAAACTGAAGCAATCAGAAGAAAACTTCCAAAGGTACCCAATACCAACTCTGTCCACCTGTTAGCATGTGTACCCGCAATATTCTGTCTTCTCCCTATTATAACAGATGAACTATCAAATTCCTATCTATAGTCATTCTTGGGACTTCCCTGGTGGTCCAGTGTCGAAGACTCCACGCTCCCAGGGCAGGGGGCCCAGGTTTGATCCCTGGTCAGGGAACTAGATCCCACATGCCACAACTAAGACCCAGCGCAGACAAATAAATAAATAAATTTTTTTAAAATTAAAACTAAAGTCATTCTCATCACTCATATATTAAATCCAATCCCCCTTCTCGCCTATCAAGGCAAGAAGATAATTCTCCTTTCTCAATTTTATCACCAAAACTTCCTTCCCTACTGGATATTTCTCCCATCTTAAAAATAACAAAACACCTTCTCTTGTCCCCATTTGCTCAACACCTTCTCTTGTCCCAATTTGCTCAACATCTCACCTCAATCCTTTGCTTCTTATTACAGCAAAACACTTTGAAAAATGTATCTCCATTCACTGTCTCCAATTCCTCCCCTCCCATTCTCTTAAACTAACCATATTCGAGTCAAGTTTTTTGCACCCACCACTAATTGAAATTGTTCCCGTCAGGTTTCACCAAAGACCTACATAATGCTAAATACAATCGCCAATCTTCTGTCATGTGATTTAATTTAGCAACATCTGACACAGTTAATTATACCTTCCCCATTGATATAGTTTCTTCACTTGGCTTCCAGAATCCCACTCTCCTAGTTTTCCTCTTACCTTACTGACTGCTTCTTAAGACAGAGGAATTGTATCATCTAGTCTCATGACCTTAAATATTACCTAAGGAAAAAAAGGTGAACAGCCAGTCTAGGTTTTTTCCACAGACCCAGGCCAAGAAAAATGATCTTATGTTTAGGTCTCAAGCACTGTTTTCTTGAAACTTAGAAAGTTAAAATTAACATGGAAAACTATGTTCAAGATCCATACTTATACAATATAGTAAGCCACAGAACATTTCCATCATCACAGAATATTCAACTGGACAGTACTGTTCTAGACCTCGTTTACTGTTAAATCTCTGATTTGTGTGGACTATAGCTGAATTGTGAAGACTATGGTTGGCATATGGACTTTGAGGCCTACATGACTAGGACACTAGAGAAGATAACTGGAAAATCAAGGTAATGGCTTTCCTGTGCCGAAATGAACACTGGCTGTGTCTTTTAGAGCTAATAAGCACATTCCCCATCTACTGGTAGAGCCTAAAAGATGTGCTTGAACTGTTGTAAGATGTCCCAGATGAGAGATAGCTGACGCTTCCCCATGCTGAAGTAGACTACTTCAGTCTTGTCTCCTATAACTAAGCGTACCTCTATGCACTGGTACAGCCCAAGAAGCTCACTTGGGTAACAAAAATGATGCTGTATACACTATGTTTCCTATCTTGACAAAGCTAAATAAACTTGGTGCCAAAAAAAAGCCTATAAGTTGGATCGTCAATCCAAAACTGAGACAGATATAGTGGCTGTTCAGACTGTCAAACTGAGGTAGAGACTGCTCTACAAAGACTGCTCTATACAGCAGAGCCATTGCCTTCATTTCCCTATAGCCTACTGTACTGTACTAATCACTAAGCTTCTCACATCTATGTACATAAACAAGGCATTTTACAGAGATCCAAAATCAAAGCCATATAACAGCAAGTGATCATGTGTGCATGTGTGTGTGTGTGTGTGTGTGTGTGTGTGTGTGTATAAATATATATATTCATATGTAGTATCTTCTCTGCTCTCTTTTGGTTATATTTATATAGGTATGTGTTATAAAGGTTCTAATTAGGCTTGATATGTTTAATACATGCAAAGCATTGTCAAATACAGAATCTTCTCTGAATATGTCCCTTCCTCTCAAATATAAATGTGCAGTGAAGATGACAGTCAATGATTAAACTGGTCAAAGACTAACCAAAATATTGCCAAGTAAAAATAGGAAAAAAGAACTTTGTATAACATATTAAATAACATTTTACATAGTCAATGACTACACATTGCCCTGTTTTAATTATGTTCTTATTTTTATTATGTTCTTTTTAAAACTACACTATAATGAATAGCATTTGCTGCTTTTAATTAAATAAGATGTTACAGCCATTTCTATGAGAATTTGCATATTGGGCTCTTATTCATAAAGCCACCATTACTCTAAAAACATTATTTTTATGGGAACAAAGCTACTTTGGTGAACAAGAGACATATAACCTGTCATACAAGATAATTAATACAATGTAGAGAACTAAAGAAAAGAGTAAGTAAGCATCTACAGTAACCTAAAAATCATACCCTTACTTCCTAAAACTCATAAACTTTCTGATAATTGTTAACAAAAAAGATTAAATTATTCAGTAATTACAAGAATTTTTTAAGTAGTAACTAAGATATCCAACAAGCACAAAATTCTGAAAATGACAACTCATAAAATACCACTTTCAAAGTATATGTATACATATATATATATTTCATAATTGAGTCACAAATAAATCTTAATATATCAAAAACTCTTACCTTTTGATCAGGAAGGTTGAAAAGAAATTCTCTGTCAAAACGACCAGGTCTCCTGAGAGCAGGATCTATAGAATCAAGTCTATTTGTAGCACCAATAACAACAATTTCGCCCCTATTGTCTAATCCATCCATAAGAGCAAGGAGGGTTGATACTATAGAGCTGTAACAAAATTTTCAAACAAAATTTTAAATTTTAAAAAGGGAAAAAAGAAAAAGTTGCAAAATTGCTGCTTATACTTTTATCAGTCTTAAAGACTAAAGAAATGGATTTTTATATCCATGTTCACAAGTAAAACTAAGTTCCATTTAACTTTCTCATACCACTCTAAACAGGTTTAAGTCTTCTGCAGCTATAAGTGACATACAATACACATATTGAATATATTTAAAGTATACAAATTGCTAAGTTTTGAAGTATGTGAAACTATCACCATAATCAAAAAGAGTAATATCCATCATGCTCTTCTTCATGCCCTTCAAAATCCACTGCCCACTGCTCTTCTTTGACCCAATCCCCTGGCAACCACTGATCTGAGTCTGTCACTATAGATTAGCTTGCATTACCTAAAATTTTATATACATGGGATCACACAGTAAGTACTTTTTTTTTCTGGATTCTTTCCCTCAGCATGATTATTTTGAAATTCACCACATTGTTGGTTTAACAATAGTTTATTCCTTTTCATTGCTAAGCAATATTCCATTTTATGGATGGATCCCAATTTGTTGATTCACATGTTGATGGACATTTAGACTGTTTCCAGTTTTTGGCTATTACCAAAAAAGCTGTGAACATTCATACAGGTCATGAAGATGTTCCCATAGGTTTTTTCCTAAAAGTTTTATACTTTTATCTCTTAAGCTTAGGCCTTCAACCTCTTAACCTTTAATGTTTACAGAATCTAAAATAACATCACATTTTGTATTCCTAAATATTGCTTTATCAGTATCTTTTTTTATCATGGCCAATTGTGCAACAGGTTGGTCAACTTCATTTTTTTCCCAAAGAACTGACTTTCTAATTTCCTGATTTCTGCATATCTCTGTTTGCAGTTCATATATAGTTAGCTATAATTTTTTATTTTACTAATACCATAGATTACTTAGAGTTAGGACAATAGTTCTTGATAAAAAACATAAAATTCTCTGCTTATCTTTTTGTCATTTGTTTCTTATATTTTTTATATTACTAAACTTTGGAAATTAGTTTATTATTTAAGGCACAATATATGGTCAATTTTTATAAATGCTGTGTTTGTTTGAAAACAGTGTTCATTCTATAATTGCCTTAGATAAGTATGCCCACAAGATCAGATTAATATAGTTGTTCAAATAATCTGTAGAGAATTTATTTTATGCTCATTTGGTCTATTAATTACTGAGAGGTACATGATATCTATCACAATGATTATCAATTTGACTCTGCAGTTCTGTCAATTTTTGTTTTATACAGTTTGAAATGTAGTAATCAGAGAATTATAAATTTTAAACTATTACATCTTTTAATAAATTGAAGATTTTACCATTGTAAATTGATCCTCTTTTTATGTATAATAATGCTTTCTGTCTTATTAGTCTCTTTTGTCTAATATAGCAATAGTAGCTTTCAGTTAGTATTTACTTGATACACATTTATACCATTTTATGAATTTGACTGTTTTGGACATTTTACATAAATGAAACAGTACAATATGTGATCTTTTGTGTCTGGTTTTGTTTCAACTAGCGTAAAGTATGTGAGGCTCACCAATGTTACTTGAATAAGATAAACATGTAGCATGTGCCAGAATTTCATTCCTTTTTGAGGCTGAATGATATTCTACCATGTGGATATACCACATTTTATTTAACCATTCATCAGCTAATGGACATCTGGGTTATTTCCATGTTATGGCTATTATGAATAACACTGCTGCGAATATTTGTGACTAAGCTTTTGCATCCCTTTTTCCCACCATTTGGAACCTCTCTTATATGTATCCTTATGTGTATTGATAGCTACAGTTTCACAAGTAAATACATATGTTAAAATTACCAAGTGTACTCTTTAAGTATATCAATGAGTATATATAGTATTCTGTATCAATTATACCTCAATAAAAGAGCTTTAAAAAAATAAGTAGTAGGGGGCTTCCCTGGTGGCGCAGTGGTTGAGAGTCCGCCTGCCGATGCAGGGGACGCGGGTTCGTGCCCCAGTCCGGGAAGATCCCACATGCCGCAGAGCGGCTGGGCCCATGAGCCATGGCCAAAAAAAAAAAAAAAGTCAGTAGTAGGGCTTCCCTGGTGGTGCAGTGGATAAGAATCTGCCTGCCAATGCAGGGAACACAGGTTCGATCCCTGGTCTGGGAAGATCCCACATGCCATGGAGCAGCTAAGCCCATGCATCACAACTACTGAGCCTGCGCTCTAGAGCCTGCAAGCCACAACTACTGAAGACCGCACGCCTAGAGCCCGTCCTCCACAATGAGAAGCCACCGCAACAAGAAGCCCGTGCACCGCAATGAAGAGTAGCCCCCCTCGCCCTAACTAGAGAAAGCCTGCGCGCGGCAACAAAGACCCAACGCAGCCAAAAATAAAAATTAATTAATTAATTTTTAAAAAATTCAGTAGTAAAATAAAAAGATTCTAAAATATCTCCAAATATTCTCTTTAGAAAAGCAAGAAATGAAAAACATAAACAGAAAACACACATAAATAGAAAACAAACATGAAATGGTATTCTCCAATTCATTTGTGTCAATGATTACATAAACATTAATGGATTAAACTTTCAAACTAAAATGAAGAGATTGTCCAGTTAGGAAAACAAGACCCAACTATGTATAATCCACAAAAGTAATACTCTAAATATTAAGACACTGAAAGGTAGGTAGTAAGTTAATGGAAAAAAAATGTACCAAGCAAAAAACATCAGAAGTCTAGATTAGCTTAATCATTATCTAATCATTAGCTAATCATTTCATTAGATTCTAATGAAAATAGATTTCAAAACAAAGAGTATTAACAAAGATAAAGAGGGGCATTTCATAATAAGAAGGCAATTTCAAACTAAAGACATCCAAAATAATAAATGTGTTTGCACCCAAAACAAAACTTCAAAATAAATGAAACAAAAATTGGCAGAATTCAAGAGACAATTCTACAATCATAGTTGGACATTTTACCACATCTCTCTAATGTTCATAAAATAACTAGACAAAAAAAATCAGTAAAAACACAAAAGATCCTACATAACATTATTATAACCCTGTCTTACTTGATATATAGAGAGAACATTATACCACAAACAACAGAATACAAATTCACAACACAGACAATACCTGGGACATAAAGAAAACTGCAGTGAATTTAAAATGACTTTAAGAGTTATTGTTTCTGACCACAATAAAATTAGAGAAACTAATACAGTGTTTTATGTTAATTATACCTCAATTAAAAAATTAAATTAGAGACAATAAGATAAAAACACAACTTGTAAACTAAACAACACACTTCTAAATATTCACTGTGTCAAAGAAGAAATGACAAGAGGAATTGGAAATTATTTTGAACTATAGGACACGGATTATATAAGAGGTCAAAAACTGGGATGCAGCTAAAGCAGTTCTTAAAAAGAAATTTATAGCTTTCAATGCCTATATTAGAAAAGAAAAAAAGTTTCAATCAAAGTCTAAAATTCCATCTGAATAATCTAGAAAAAGAGAAAACTAAACCTAAAGCAAACAGAAGAAACAAACAAACAAAAAGCCAAGAAGAGTCACAATGCATATTGCTAAATGCATATTGCTAAATGAAAGAAGCTAACCTGAAAGATTACATGCTGGATGATTACAACTACATAGCATTACGGAAAGGGCGAGGGTAGACAGTAAAAAATCATTAGTGCCAGGGACTGAGGGGGTGGGGTGGGGAGGGAAAGGAAGGATGAGTTGGTAGAGCACAGAGGATTTTTTAGGACAATGAAAATACTCTGTATGATACTATAATGACATATGCATGTTATTATACATTTGTCCTAACTCACAAAATGCAGAACACCCAGAGTGACTACAGACTTTGTGTGATTATCATGTGTCAATGTAGGTTCCTCAATTGTAACAAATGTACCCTCTCTGATGAAAGATGCTGATAATGAGGGAGGCTGTGCATCAGTGTGGGCACAGAGTAAATGGAATAATCTCTGTACCTTCCTCTCAATTATGCCGTAAATCTAAAACTGCTCTTTAAAAAAGATTTTTTTTTTAATTACAAAGAACAAGGTTGGGGACTTATACTAATAAGACTCTATAAATTTCTCTAGTAATTAAGTCAATGATATAAGGATAAACCTAAAGATCAATGGAACCAACTAACAAGTCTAGGAAGAGACAACTTAATGGTCAATTTCTGACAAAGATGCCAAGTAATTAAATGGAGACAAGGTAACCTTTTCAATAAATGGTCCTGGAACAATTGGGAAAAAAAATATGGAAAAAGCAAACTCCAGTCCACACCTTGCACTAGCTATAAAAATTAATTCAAACCCTTACCTTATGCTGACATACGAATGTTAACTTTAAAACGAATCACTGACCAAAATTCAAGGGCTAACACTACTAATATTTTAGAAGAAAATATAGAATAGTTGACAAATTGGTTTAGGAAATTATTCTCAAGACACAAAAATATATATCAAAAAAATTTACATAATGGACTTCATCAAGACTAAAACCTTTTGATTTTCAAAAAGTCATATTTAAGAAAAAGGCAAGCCAGACTAATAGAAAACTTTTCAAAACATAGATCTGACAAAGGGCTTGTTTTAAGAGCATATAAAAAAAATCTTACACTACAATGAGACATACAATATGATTTCTTTTTTTTTAAAGGGTAAAATAAGACATTTCACAAAAGAAAATATGTAAATGAGCAATAAGTGCATGCAAAGATGCTCAATATTATTAGTCATCAGAAAAATGAAAATTAATCCACTACTACACTCATTAGAATAGCAACAGTTAGAGAGTAAAAATACGAAATGCTGGCAAGAATGAGAAGCATCCCAAATCCTGATACATTACAGTTAAAAACTTAAAATGGTAAACCACTTTGGAAAGTAGGATTCAGCCATTTCTGTCTAAGGTATTTACCCAACAGAAATGAAAACATATGGTCCCATGAAAATGTGTATGCAAATGTTCACAGCAGCTTTATCATAATAGCCAAAAATAGAAGCAAACCAAATCTCTATCAGAGGAATTAAACAAATTGTGGTACACATACAGACATACACATACACACAGAGACACACAAGTTGCCCAAGGACTACTACTCAGAAATTAAAAAGAACAAAATATTAGTGTACGTGACATGGATAAATTTCAAAAACATTATGCTAAATCAGGATTAGGCATCTTTTTCTGTAAAGGGCCAGAAAGTAAATGTGTTAAGGCTTTGCAAGTCATATGATCTTTCTCTCACAACCCCTCCCTCATCTCTGCTCTTGTAGTGCAAAAGGAGATATATATATAACACAAAAAGCAATGAATATGGCTGTGTTCCAATAAAACTTCATTTACAAAAACAGGGAGAAGATTTGGCTCATGGGTCGTGGTTTGCTGACCCCTGTGCTAATGAAAGAAGTCTTCCTCAAGGACAGAGGTCACATCTTATAAGCCTCATAGCACTTATCCAAGGGCTAAATCTAAATAACTATGTCACAAATGAAAAGAATTCAACATAATCAGATTAGGAAAAATTACCTGTGGATCTGATCTTGCCTGCTAGAGCGAACTGGAGCTAATCCATCTATTTCATCAAAAAATATTATAGAAGGTCTCATCAAATATGCCTAGTATAAAAAGAAAACAAACATTATTTATTGTATTAGTTTTCATTTTTAATTTAATTACTGTATTTTCTTAATAGGTAATATAAGCAAATGGTACAACAAGCAGCAGGTAAGAAAGATTATACAGGAAAAAGGAAAGCTCCTTATCACCCCAGACTCTAACCACAAGGTCTCCACCCAGTAGACAACTACTGTTTTCAGTTTGTTTATTCTTCCATACATGTCATTTATACACATAAACATATATTTTTAAACACATTTAAACACACTGTACATACTGCTTTTATTGTATAACACAGCCTATTTTATGTTACTGATATATTTTAATTAGCTTACACGTAAGTACATAAAGATCTGCTTCATCCTTTTTTAACAGCTACAAAATGCCGCACTATATGGATGTGCCGTAATTAAACGAGTCCCCTACTCATGGACATTTAAGCTGTTTTCAATCTTTTCCTATTATCAATAATGCTTGAACAAATATCTGTGTACATTTAACATTTCACATGAGTATAAACATATCAATATAAAAAATTATAAAAGTGAAACTTATGGTTCAAAAGGTATGTGTCATTCTTAATTTAGATACTTGCAAATTACCTTCCATTGATGTATCAATTTACCCTTCTCACCAGAAATATTTAAGACTGCTCACCAACAATTTATTATCAAACTTCTTGTTCTTGACTAACGTTTTAAGATAAAGGATGTTACCTCATTTTCATTCTAATTTTTATTTCTATTATCAAGGAAGATGAGCATTTTTCATATCTTAAAAGAGCCATTAATATTGCTTTTTCTACACAAGTTCTGTTCATATCCTTTGCCAAGTTTTCTGTTGGATCATTGGTCTTCTGCTTACTGATTTCTAGGAGCTATATTTACTTAAAAAGTAGACTCTATGAAAGGAAATGAAAATATTTTTCTTCAAAGGGTATCATCTTTTGGTTTTGCTTACCATATTGTTGCCACGCAGAATGTAAAAAAAAGATTTTATATAGTGGATTCTTTTCTTCCATAGTTAGACTTTCCCTA